AATAAATGAATACATTTTTTAAAGTTTCTTTTTCCATGCCATTTTAAAATCTTTTTCAATTAAATTGTTTTATTCTACATTGAAAATTATTCAATAATTGACTAAAAAAATTTCCAGGATTCTATAAAATTGGTTAAGTGTAAATCACAAAAACTGTAACTTGGCAACTGAAAATTTTTTGGCAGTCAGTTGTAAGGTCAATTACTAACAGTCAATTTTTCTGGTGGTCTGATGTTTTGTCAGTCAGTCAGTGGCTGCCATTTGGCAGGCAGCCAATCAAGTTGCAATCAGTTGTCCTGATTCATTTCTTTGTTTCAATGCATTCCTTAAACCTCAATCATGTAAGCTAAAAGACAGCTAAATAACAACAAAAATCAAATAATTAAAAATTGCAAGTTTGGCAATTTTTGTATCATTTGATTCAGATTGATTAGAACTAGTTATTATCATTTAAATATGCTTATAGGTAAGAAAATTTTTATGGCTGATGATCACAATCACCAATTCTTTTGCAATAAAGGAAAATCAACTTTTAAAATCAGATATTTTCTAGTAATTGGTATGGTATGGAGCAGAACCATAATAAATGAAAACTCTGAGTTTTTATTCATTTCAAGAATAAATTTTGGCTACTTCGACAAGACTGGATATAGATTCACACTGAAAAATAAATGATGTATCTTGATAATACCTTAATAAGTTGTGCAGGTGTGAGACATTACATTATACTTAACTTTCAAATTCACCAAATTTTAAATCTAATGAAGAGCTGTGTAAATCTTCATAGTCAATCTTGGAGAAAAAAGTGTGTTATGCAAAATATATCACTGAAGTAATGATAAAGGAACTATTAAACATATAAAACACTATTTCTATAGAGCAGCAGATGATCTTCAATAATTTTCTTATGTATGTTCAAACATGTAGAAAGATGAATGGAAAAATTTCAAAATCTATTAGAATAAAACTTATTGAAAATTCTCTGTAGAACCTTCTTATGTTTATAGTTATTACTATTAATTTGAAAAGATTTGAATAAATACATATTCAATTTTTGCTGCACCTTGTATAACAGATCAAATATAAACCACTTTGTAATCAAATAAATCAATAGCAATTTCTTTACATGCAGATATGTAAAAAAATAAATTATAAAAATAAACTAAATATAAAACAATTTGCATAAGCAAGAAATAACAAATAATATAAAACAAAATTTCTAGAAATATACTAATTAATTGTTTGCTAATTGTTAATATATACTAATCATCAAGTCCTCCACTGATTAATAGTCAAATTCTCAAAATTAATTCTCCAATAATTAGAATAATTTGTAAATAATCATTCTATTGGAAAACTCAATTTAATAATTTTTATATGGATACAGTTTGTGATTACTCAGAATATATTTCTTCATAATTGAAGTTTAGACTATTTACATTATATACTACTAATAATTTTTAATTTAAAAAGTAATAAACATTAAAAAGTGAAGTTAGAAAGAAAAGGGTTAAAGGAATCAGGATATTTATTCAGATTAAGTGCTTTTCAGAATTTTCAATCCCATGTTCAAATCAACAATGTTCAATGTTGAGTTTAGACAAACCAAATAAATCAACTGTTCGTACGTAACCTTTTGAATCTAACTGACCAACATTACAAATTTGAACATTTCTTTGACAAATTAACATATGATATTTTTAACTTACCAATATTTGAGGTTTTTAAATGAAATTGTCAAAACCTGTCAGAAGCTTAAGATACTTAGCTGAAATTTTAAGATCCAATAAATTTAGATTTAAACATCTTTATGAATCCTACACATGCTATTTTATGAATCAAAATAGGACTTTGACTAAAACGAATACAATCGCAAAAGCATTTGCCTATTCACTATAATTTGCTATAAATTATTCATAGAGGGAGGGAAAATCAGCAAAATTCAATCCATTGTTCAGTTTTGGCAGAACTTCAGAAAAAATATATTTTTTTTTCTGTTTCCATTTGCATATATTCTGTATTTTATATAGCCTAAGTCCAATTCTGTTTTAAAATAATGGGAAGATTGTTGTTTTCTCAATGTGTTGATATGTTTTAATAAGAACATATTACTGAAAATGTTGAATATTTCACCATTAATTATGATTATGATAAATGAAGAGAGACTGAGTATATCAAGCTCAAATCTGAGCAAATATATTTAAAGGTAGACAACATTAATAAGTTTTACTTAAACAATGGATATTCTTTTTCAGTTGGAAATACTGTATATAGTATATATGAATGAATGAATGCATGAATAAATAAATAAGTAAATATAGTTGTAAGCTTCTTGCCTCTAATGAATTAAATAATTATCTCAAACTACCAATTTCTGGAGATATATGAGACTTATCAAACTGTATTGGAGCATTATAAAACCAAGATTGCATCAATAAAAGATTAATTTTACTCTTGGGATGCATTTCAGTCTTCATTAGTCTTCAGCCAGTATTACATAAATACTGATATCTACAACAATTACAAAGAACTTACATTTAACATTTAAGTTTAACTTAATACATAAAAAATTTACCAAAGAAAAAACAAACCTACACTATTTTAACTAAATTACTAAAGGTTACATGGACATATACTGATAACTGTCTGTACAGACATCTGTTTACAAATTCTTCTATGTAATCTACTGACTTCACATAAACAATTCACCATGTGACTCTGTATTGAGTGAGTCTGTAGTATTGGTTAACAGTAACTCCCTTTGGTGAAAACTGGTAGCCAATTCTCATCAGATAGTTACAGACAGTTAGCAGTATGTGCTCTTGTAATCTTTTGTTTTTTTTCTTGTTTTGTAATTTTTTATGTATCAAGTTAAAGTTAAATGTAAGTTTTTTGCAATTGTTGCAGGTATCAGTATATATATAATAGTGGCTGAAGAGGGTCTAAGTGAAGATAAGTGAAGACTGAAATTCAACCCATGAATAAAATTAATCTTTTATTGATGTGATCTTAATTTTCTAACACTCCAATACAGTTTGGTAAACCTTGTAAATTGTCACCAATTAGTAGTTTGAGATAATCATTTAATAAATGAATGATTTGCTTTGTAAAATTTTTATTTTTACATTAAATTTACATCCAAAAAAGTCAGGTACAAAGTAATGCATTATCTGTTTTATATTTGCTATGTATCTACTTAGGAAGTTGCCTCTCAAACTAATAAGTATATTTATTTAGTAGAAAAGGGCTGGCAGAATTACAATTTAATAATAAGCAAAATACATCTGGATACGAGTCCAATTTTGCTTGCCATGTCCAATCACCAGGAACAACTATTTCCATTGCAGAGACAACCTTTATTTAGAGGCTATGTAATAATATAATATAATATATTATATTTTTAATTGTGTTGGGATTGTCACCTGAGGACATTTTAAACTGTTTTGCATATTTGTGCAGAGGCATAGCCTCTAAAGAAAGGTTGTCTCTGCAATGGAAATAGTTGTTCCTGGTGATTGGACATGGCAAGCAAAATTGGACTCGTATCCAGATGTATTTTACTTTTTATTAAATAGTAATTCTGCCAGCCCTTTTCTACAAAGAAATATTATATTTTTAATTGTGTTGGGATTGTCACCTGAGGACATTTTAAACTGTTTTGCATATTTGTGCAGAGGCATAGCCTCTAAAGAAAGGTTGTCTCTGCAATGGAAATAGTTGTTTCTGGTGATTGGACATGGCAAGCAAAATTGGACTCGTATCCAGATGTATTTTACTTTTTATATTTATTTTGCTTTAATTAGTATTAATAACTTTGTAATTGAATATCAAATAGTTTATTAATCATATCTTGATAGCTTTGACCAGATTACTAAGAATGACATTGAAGCAAATAACAACTAATTAAAAATTAACCTTAATATTAACCTTTAGGATAATTTCTTAAACAGATGTTTCTATTTAATACAGAGACTAGAAAATATGATCTTAAGAGATCTGTAATGTTTATATTATAAATTTTAATGTTTTGTGTAATAAACAGTTGAACAATAATTGGAAAAGGTTAGTCTTATTAATTTTGAAAAAGTTTAATAAAAATGTTTAAAATATACAACCATAATTGTTATACTTTATTTATTTCTAATCATCAAATTCTGAATTTGTAACTTTCAAATGGTAGAGATTTTTAAGTCCTAAATCCAAAATTGCCTAAGTTTTTTAAAATTAGTTATATGTAAAACATTTATTAACATCAAAGAGACAAAATAAATATATTTATTGTAATATTTATTTATATTATTGTTACTGATCCAAAAATTTGCATTACTATACTAAATTATTTTTTGCAAATTCTTAATATCATCTCAATCAATCTTTATTAGTATAAAGGGTGGAAGCCCTGTTACTCAGGGGCTAAGTAATTACAATTATCAAAAGGTAAGTATACTTTTTTTACGAACAGAAAATCAAAATTTATATTAATAATTATTTTCTTACAAGTTCTTAGATTTTGTTTATTATTTGCTAGTTTTATCATCATTCATACTTTTGATTACAAAATTATACAAGCTATACAGCTCCTTCTTTGAAAGTTTATTCAGATTTTTTCTAAAGTCTTGAGTTGAACTTGAGTTGTCTTGTTTTATGTAAGATATTCCATGTGGCTTTTGCATTTGAGTAAATTTCTGTCTTTTAGTATGAGTAATAATGAAAAGTTGCTTGAGTCGCACCAATAACAGTTTTTATTCAAAAAATTTATATATTTATTTTCTATGAATAATGAACTTTTATTTAAACATAATTGAATTATTAGTCTTTTAACATTTATTCCTAATGGGTAGTTTATATATAATTGTAGTGAAGGACAAATTTTTAATATTTAAAAATATTTTTAAACTTAATTTTAAAAGCAATTTATTTCATAGTTGAATGATTAGATAAAATAAATTATGCACTAATTTAGGAAAATATTTAAAAAAAAAAAAATTAATAAAACATACCTTTTCTCTGAACCAAAACTCTTACTAATGGTCTTGCAGAACTAATAGCTCTAGCAAAATTTTCATCATTATTAATTGGTAACAAATCACCATGAACAGGATCAGTATAACAAAGTGTAAATGGAATGTCAAAAAGGTGGTGAAATTTCTCTATTAAGTTACAGAAGTCATCAAACTTTGTGAGATCATTCCTCTCCAATGAAAAACGACGGAATTCTGCATCAAACTATAAAATTAAAATATCTGTTTTATTTTTATGTCAAGTAATACTGACATAATAATATAAATATTTAATAATAATTAAAACAGAGAATAATTTTCACATTCAAAAATATGATTTGTATAATAATAAATTTATCAAAAAAAATTTTAACTATTAAAAATATTAAAGAAAGATTATTTTTATTTGTCATATGTAACCTAAATTTTTTAATCTTTTCTTAAAGTCCTTTTATCATGGTTAACATTTTCAAAATAAATGTTTAATTTATTCTGAAAAAATGCTAAACTATTTACAATATTAAGCAGAGGAAAAATATAAATACTACTATATCATTTATATCACTTTAAAAATAATTGCGCAAATAGTTTACATATAAACTATTTTTATCATCTTAATGACAGCATCCTCAGATTCCCAATACGCATATATGTAAATTATAAGAGTGTATTGTTTGATAGTTATTATAAACAATGTAGACATATTACTTTAAGACACTTCACTTTAGAATGCTTTACTAATATAGCACTTTAATTATATTCAAGTTTCACATTCAATTCATTTTTATTATTTTTGGTACTTTACTTGTTAAGAACAAGTAAATTAAATCTTAAGGGCATTTTTTAGCATTTTTTTTTATTTATTTTTAGTCTTGCATCTTTTTTGAAGGCCTAGCACTATTGCACACTTATGATGGTGTAAATTGTGCACTTATAGCAATATATGTTCTTATGCTTTTATATAAGCTGGCAGAAAAAAAAAAAAAGGCTGTATTTTGTTTTAAGGTAATATATGTCAGTTTTCTAGAACCTAATCCAACATACTGACAAGTACAGTATGCTTGCATATAATATAGCTAACATACTGTATAATTAATTAAATAATTCAATTCTTTTTTATGAAAACGTTAATAAATAAATTGCTTTGTGCTTTTTTATGTATCTTAACATATCCAATTTTATACTTCATATCAATTTTCTCTTTCTGGCATCAATTACATTATTAGATTATCTAAATTCATTTCTATTCTTACAGTTCAAAATGAATTTACAAATTTTTTATTTATTTTTTACTACATGTATTATCATAAGAATGCAAAGTAATGAAACATTATGGAAACTGTTGTTACTCATATGGTCTGAATGCAAATTAATTCAGAGTGAAAAAAACAGATGACAATGACTAAATAAACAACAATGTACAGTATATGTGAAGAGATTTCTGTACTGAATCAGTCTCATAATTTTGCTTTTTGGAAAAATTTGTTATTAAGAAAAATAAATATGTAAGAAATAGTTATATCTAAGTAAAAATTCATAAAACAAATAGTCAAACAATAAAAAGTAGATATACACTTTTTTATTTCAAATCAAAAATATATTTTAAAATATTGTTTTTTATTCTTCACATTTTACTTCACAATATANATTATGATTAGATCTAAGAAGTCAGAATGAGTTGTGGTTGATTTAGTCACTTAATGAGCCTGTTTGGTCTTTGAGTGTAACAAATATCAATACATACATATATATATTTAATATTAAAATATGTCTTAAATTTGAGGTATTCTTTCTCACTCTTCAAAAGTTCTACGTAATGTAAAAATAAACAGGATCAAAAATTTTTATTTTCAGTTAAATGAAATAAAAATATTGGTTTTTTCAGATTGGATAATAAATATATTTATTGAAATCTATCAGGGATGTATCCAGAGGAGATGCTTATTATACTGCAACACCTCCTTGATACCAAAGCAATCAGTTTTTGTTATTTTATATCGTTTAAAATAAAAATAAATAAAACAACACATATCATATAGCTTCAATGGCAGAAAATAATCCTATATAAACAAAAAGCAAGCAGAAAAATTTTAAATGCTTTCCTGAAAATAGATTGAAAAGTGTAGCAGAAAGATTAAAGATAATTAAATATAAAATGTAATTTTCACAATTTTACAAAATGAGATGAAGAAATGAGAAGTGAAAATAAGAAATGTAATGATTTTATACCTTTTCTATTACTCCTTTTGGAATTACACTGAGAATAAATCATACTGTAATTTCTATAATTTATAGTCAATTATCAATTCAAAATTATTAATTATCCATTTTCCATTTAACAAGTTTAAAAAGCCAATGAAAAACGAATGATGTAAAAAGTTAGGCAACTAAGGTAATTCTATGGTAATTGAGTAACATTCTCTAAAAAATTACAAAGGGCATGTGCCTTGGTATCTCTGGAACATATCTTGAGCGGCACCCATATTCTAAAAATTCTGATAGACCATTGCAATCTAGATAATATTTTCATGTTTTACTTGATGATGTCTATTTTATATGGACAAAAACATTAATAAATTTTTTCTTTTCATAATGCTGGTGTTGATTTTGTGCATTGTGTGTTTTCATGTATTATTTAAATTAATGATTTTTTAATTTATTTATAAGTGTAAATGATTTCAATTGGCCTATTTCCTAATTGATACAAGATTGTATTAGTGGAAAGAGGTGTTTATTTTATAGATATAATTACACTATTATTTTTCATTCTCAATCATATCTAAACTTATCAATTTTACATAAAACTTTTCAGATAATTTATTGCAATAATTTCAAAAAAATTTTTAAATTCTTAAAATTATAAATTACTGAAAATTTAACATAACTTCATTTTGAAAGTAATCAGATTTTTAACATATAAATTATTATTCTTTGGATTTTAAAGATTAGATAAAAATTAATAATTATCAAGAATTGTCCAATAATTTAAAATAGCAAAGCATAAATTAAACAATAGTAAATAAAATAATCTTTCACATGCTTTTTATTTGTTAACAAATATGATGAGTACCAAAATATTATGCAACAATACATCGACCAGCTGACACAAATATAATAAACTCTGGCCTATTTATGAGAGATATGGGCCAAAGTTTTGGCATTTCTGATTAAATTCATTATTCAATTATTAATCATAATTAAAAATAAATTTATATTATAAAATTCTAGCATTTATTTCTCAGAATCATCAAAACTAACATAAAATATTAAAATTTTCAATATCTCTAAACTGTTAAATTTTCAACTTAGACAAAATTCCAATTTTAATAAAAACATTGTATTAAAAAAAAAACAGTATTTTTTAAGCATCAAATTTCAGATTGCAAGAATTTTAAGTTTGAATAATTGAATACTGAAAATTAACTTGTGTTTTTCTATATATGTTATTTCTTTTTTGTATCACATACTAAAAACCATAATCATGACATGACAACATAATAAATGAAAGCAAATATTTTTAAAACCAAATAATTTACTATTCTTTATGCATAAAAATTCCTGCATAAATAAACTTTTGAAAGAATAAAATAGCATGTTGAAAATAATCATCATATATAAATTTTTAAAATTTTAAATTCTTTTAGTAATAATGTACCGGTACACATGAGATTTTAAAAATAATAATATAGATTAATAATTATGAAGTAAAAATAACAAATTTTAAAAGATTAATTTATTTTAATAGATTTTTAATTTTAAGTAAATAATCCTATAAATCTTGCAAAGTTAAATGATGATAGGTTATTAGAATTCTTCTTGATAAAAATTATTTAATCTATAAAGAGTACATTCATGTGATATACAAAATGTAATAAGAATTAAATATTTTTCAACTACTAATTTTGATTATATATAAAATGTAGTTAATTACAACTATTTTTCTTAATGTTCAGTAAAATGCTGGCACAATGACTTCTTTCTAGCTCCAATATAAAAAAGGATTTCTGAATTATGGTTAATTAGAAAATAAATAAATCTTAGGTATCTTATCATTGAGATTAGACTTCTGAAGGAAAAAACCTTCATTCATTCATGAAGTATTTTCTCAGGATTTATTGTACAACTTTGTATTATTTATTAGAGCGGTCTAGTCTGTCAAAATGGATATTTTAATCAAACTACAAAACTTAACAGATATGAAAAACATTTTACATGCAAACTAAGAGCTAAAACTTACAACTATTTTCATGAAATCTTATTGTTAATAATTTTGGATCCTTATTTAGTATCAGAGTATGAAAAGAAAAATCAAACTGTCATTTTATAATAGTAAATACTGTATTTCAATTTATATATATTTTAATTGCAATATAATAATTAAAAATACTTTTTATATATTATAACAAAATTTATTATTAGTTTTAATATATATTATGGATATAAGTATAGACATTTAAATATGTTTCAATTTCAGAAATATTTTATTCCATGTTTAGAATCTTAAATAATTGCTAAAATCATCTTTAGAATATATGATTAAAAATAAAAACTTTTCAAAGCAATATTTACATACTTAAAAAATTGTATTAAGAATATATACAGAATATATAAAACTTTGAAATGAGTTATTTTATGAATAATATTAACAAAAAAAAGAATACTTCATAAATTTTTAACACACAATTATTATTATGTTTTCAGTCATTTAATTCTAACATCAAATATTACATAAATATAAGTGTAAAAAAATATTTTTAACAAAATAATTTAATAAATAAAAAGGAAAACATTTTATATTAGTATTAAGCAAAATTTTAAAAAATTAATTTTTATGAAACTTCAATTCATTTTGAAATATAAATTTTGTATTTCTCACTGAAAATTATTTCATTTCATTCCAGGAAAACTAAACAAAATAATAAGGTTAATGGATCCAAAAAACAAAGAAAAATTTTAATTCAAAAGAAACTATATTATTTTAAAAATATGAAAACTATATAAATCAAATTCTATTTTTCCATCATTATTAAATAACACCTTTTAAAGATTTATTAAATTATAAAAAATATAGTATTTGCTGAATGATATATTTGTTTACTTTACAAGTAAAATGAAAAATGTAAGAAGGAAAAGCATACTAAGTAAATTTTCAGTTTATTTTAAACAGGAAAATAAAACAATAATAACAACATTTCAGTTATATATACAAGATTGATTTTTTATATTAATTTAATAGATATATTTTTTAAAAGAATTTCTTTTTTAATTCAATTTCCTTTAATATTCCTTTGCCTAATATATAGTTTCTTAATTTTAGTTAAACTCATTTATCTGTTGCTTATACAAATCATTAAGCTAATTTTATTTCTACTAACAGTATGTTTTGTAAGTAAAAAATTAATATAAAGTTGACAGCTTAGAAAAATATATATGTATGTAAAATATTTTATATGAAACATTAGCTAATTAAATTTAAAAAACAAAAAGAAATATTAATTTAAAATATTTTATAATCCATTTAATTTCTGAAAATGAAAGGAGTTGTTTAATAAAGACAGTTACCATCATCTTGTCTTATCATAGTAATTATAATGCATTTCAAGGACTAAAATGTAATAGATTATCCTTCCACATATACATATAATACTCTGTAGATTAGAAGGAATTTAACAAAATATTTTTAAACACCATCACTTATAAAAAATTTATTATAATGCTTTATTTATTGGAATAAAATTTTATAAGATAATATTTTATTGAATTTTGAAATATTTAAAAAATTTTTAAGATAGACATAAAATATTTATCTCGAATTTAAAAATTGTATATGTATATGTATACAGTTTATAACTGTAATTATATAATTACAATTATAAACTGTATTTATTATAATTTAAATTAAAAATTAAATTATCACAAGTAATAACAACAGTATAATAAAGCCTATTATATAAGAATAAATTTTATATTCTTTTATAATAAAGTGAATATTAAATTTGAATTCACTGCTGAATGAAAAGAATAAAAAAATTACAAAATTAAAAAAAAATTATATACAGTACATGAACATAACTATTATCCTTTAAGTTGTTTATCTGATTAAAAAAAATAAAGACATAATAAACAGACATAAAAAGAAATTGAAATATTTAAATAATCGGGTAACACAGCTAGTAATCAATATATTTTTGGAAAAAAAAAAAATGTAAAAATTTATGCTTTATTCAAAAAAACCATACTTGAGTTTTTATTTATTACTAGCTGCAAGGACCCGCTTCGCTGGGTTATTATTTGTATGTAATAGTTTTTTTTTTATATATAAAAGACTGTTTTTCTAAGTAATCTAGAATCTAGCTGCAAGGACCCACTTCACTGGGTTTTTATTTGTGGGCAAAAAGTAACGATAGTGAAGATTAAGATAATTACATTATAGCCAATCTTACCCGTTTTCACAGAATGCAAGAATTAGGTCCCCCGTTTCCAGACTAATTAGAGACCTGGTCCCGATTCTATTTCTGAACGTCTCCTGTTCACGTCCAGTCAAACGAACTATTTTCAACGTTTCTGGAACGTTTACAATCGTTCTATAATCGAACCAATATTCGAATTTTTGTTCGAATTCAAATTCGAATATTGTTCGAATTAAATTCGAACAAATTCGAACATAACATTCGAAATAGAAAACCACTTTCAACCACTTTCAGCCCCATATCTCCCGCACCCTTATAGCTATCGAGACGCAACCCCCATAGTGCACGAATGGAGACTTGGGCTACTACCACATACAAACACCATTCACGTGCGATGTGTAGTTTTGGCGGAAAAGTGAAATATAGGGACACACATGTCCATTTATATATATAAATCTAATTATTTTATAACAAATATGTAATTCTTAATAGAAAGCTTATCTAGAAAAGGAAAAAAATATATATTTCAATTATACTAAAAGAATATCCAAAAATAATTAGGCCTACTTGTGATATTTAAAAATAATGCAATTGAAATAAGAAAAACAGGAATAAATAAAATATTTTATTTAATAATACAATAAGCAAAATGTTTCTGTTATTTACATTTTAATTATTCTTAACAATAAATTACTCTTAATTATATTGAACTTTTATCTGTTTTAAATGAATCATTCTATATTTTTAATTTTTTTTTCTGAAATATTAGAAAACAAATTTATTGATTCTAATCTTAATGAAAGTTTTTTCTCTTATATAAATTTTTAGTTTGTTATTAAAGTGTTTTACAACTTTTATTTCTTAATACTTACCGTATAAGTATCTTTTATAGATATATTTATAATATAAATATTCATTTACATAATAAATAATTTCAATTTTATTTTCAAAGATAAATAATAAAATAACTTTTTATGTTTTTAAAACCAATTCAAATTGATATTTATAGTTAATAGTGAATCTGAGATATGTATAACTAAATACATATTTTACATAATACATTAGAAAATTATAAGAAATAGAAAATTCTTATATTTATATAAAATTATTCCACATAACATTAAAAAAAATACTTTTTGTCTTACAATTTTTATCACATATGAATTTATATATATAAAGCAAATATAGACCTAATTAAAAATTATGAATTAAAATGCAACAGCCTGGTTAATGTATAATTTAATCTCTTTTTAATAAATATTTAAGAAGTTTTCATTGATCGTTAAACTTAGAAATTACTTGAAATCAACACAGATTTGGTGTAACATGCTTACATTTTTCATTGTAATTGATTGATTTTTCATTCAACACGTGTTTACAAAACACCACCACCGAAACTACACTTAAATCAATTGTATTTTACGTGTAATTTTCATAACGATGAACGAAAATCCAATTAATAAGCACGAAAACATAAAATGGAATGAATCTGTTTCATAAATGGCTTCTAGGTTAGTGGCTGTAATGTCAACAGTTAGGTGTATTGAAAAGTTGATAAATTATTATAGAAAGGGTTTTATAAGTAATCACTAGCAAAATCTGTTCACAGATAAATGTTAATTAGTCAATTTTTGAATAATAATTCAAGGAATCATTATAGGAATGATTCAAGAGAAAGTTATTTGCCAGAAATTGCACAATCATATACAATACATTATAAAAAAGGACTACTTGATGTAATTTAATAGTTTTAACGTAAGCAAAATTCATTAAACTAACCTTGCTTTTGATTTCTACTAAGTTACGATTCGTCTTTTGGATAATTTTCGAATTTCTTGACATTTCTTAAATCATTGGTTTGGAATGGTTACGAATCTGGCAACAAGACTACATCTGACGTCACGATAGTCTCGAGTCATCCCCCTCTGTAGACAATTATTGGAATTTCTGTAATTACGCAATTGAAATTTTTCGTCATTTATTATTTTTAATCTAAAAATAATTATTAATAGTAATTAATAAAATAATTATATGAAAAAATTGTCGTGTCTAATTTAACTATTATATTTATTTATTTATTTTTATTATTATTATTTTCTATTTTTAGATGGTTGATATTAACTTCTACTTTTGGTTTAAAATTCAATGGCTAATAATAAAAGAGAATGACATATAATCATTGCAGTAGTATAATCAGTCCTCTCGCATTTATCCTTCTCCCGATTAGTTTTATACAAGTTGTATAAGGGGAGTTATTAATGAAACGAATTTTTAATGTAGTCCTAGGATGATTTTTGAAAGTGATTCGCGCTTTCTTCTCTTGATGGCCGGACTGCAAACGCCTTTGAAGTTCGGCCATCGGCAGTTTTCACCGCTCTAGAACAGTGATCTCCAAACTTTTTAGATCGCGTACCCATAAAATGAAAATAATTATAAGTTGTACCACCTATAATATAATACAATACATAATATAATATAATATACAGTATTTTGAAGGGAAACTTGGCGTACCTCCAAGTATCACTTTGCGTACCGCCTTGAGTACACGTACTTCACTTTAGAGACCACTGCTCTAGAGGAATCAAATACTATATTTGTTTTAAGAATTTTTCATGGACAATTTGCATGGCTATATTGAATCAAATTCTTCAAAATATGGTCTTCTCACGCCGGTACCGATTGTCGAGACGTCTGTCACTTCAAAGAAACCAATATTCTATAGTTAAATATATAAAATTGTCAGCATATTTAAAAAATTGATTCGTTAAGCCTACTAACTTTTGATTGTTTAATTCTTAATTAAAACTTTTTAAAATGTCATACAGTATGTATATCGTTTTTGACAACTTTCTCTCCTGTGGGCACTTAGAGGGCCTTTTAATCAAGTCCTTCGTGGTTTTGGCCAGGACACAATGCAGTGGCTGGGTGATGAGAAACGGCGTCCGATATATCCGAAGCAGACCACCATGAAAACTTCCTGAATTGCCTTGCTGAATTCGATGCGGGTCGTCAGAGCAATAGCTGACACTTTAACACTTGGCCTAACCTAATAATAACATTTAAAAAACAAGGAATGTTTTCAGACAGGGCGGCCATTTCTAAAAGAGATCCGGATGCAGATAATTTTTGGGGACCACAAATAAACGTTTAACAATAAAAAGCAATATATTTTCATTTAAAAAGCTATATAAATAAAAATGTAAATGTTCGTTTATCCAAAATCTTAAATCTCCGAAAGTTCTTCACCGATTGCTTTGAAATTTTGAAACAATGTTGCATTCAAATACGTGCGTTTTTATATTGTATAGATGTCGAAATTCCCCCCGAGGGAAAGAAGGACAAAATGACATATAATCTTATCTAATTTAAATCTTTTAATGTATCTACAGTAATATATTTTTATGTAAAAACAATAATTTTCATGTCTTTGAATACATTTTTTATTCATTATTTAGAAATAAAATTTAAAAATGTAATAAAAAAACCATTTATTTATACGTGCAATTATGTGACTACAGAAAATTTGAGCAATTAAAGGAAGTTTTTAGGAAGTTAAAATACGTTAAACTAACGTAATTGTATTTAATATGTAGTATCCTTAAAGGTTGAATGTAAATTTTTAAAAAATTATTTCCATTCTATTGTAAAATTAATTATGTTAAAGAAAACTTAGAAACTTAATTTTCTGAGATAAACATAAAATTTAAAATAAAGTTATTCGAAAAATATACCATGCATTTAGTAGTGAGGTTGCGGCCGAAGTTTTTATCTGTAAAACGTGAACGTCGAACGTCGAGCGCCGCTATCTTGTAAGCGGCGCTCGACGTTCGACTTTCACGTTTAACAGATGAAAACTTCGGCCGCAACCTCTCTATTNTTGTATTTCGAGAGACGATGACATCTGTCTATTATTATAATAATACCTAACGATAAAATAAATGATTTAGAAAAGTTTTTCTTGTTTAACTGCTTTCCCTATGACTTTTTCTAATTAAAAAAAAACCAATTTTTATGTTTATAAAATATTTTGAATGAAAAATATTAAAATATGTTATTATTTTTTTTTATTATTTATAAAAAAATATAGTTCTGGCATACACAATATTAAATTTTAACTGACTTAATTTTGTGAATGCATCTTTTTTATTTATATGGGTATCTTAAGGTCAGTTTTTGAGCTAATGTTGCTAATGCACCATTTGAGCGAAAAAAAAAATTGTTAAGGAAAAATTTTCTGTTTGCAAACCCTTTGTTAAATATTTCGAATATCACCACTGGTTACACTGTATATAAAGAAATAATAAACCAATTACCTGAAAGGCCAGCGTGGGCTATGAGAAAATTTCCTTGGTGATCTTGCTCTAAGAATTAAAGGTCGAGGTAACTCTTCTAAAACAGATGGAGCCACATATGTAAAACCCTATATCAAAAACATTAATAAGTCATTCATTATTATTTATCTACATAATATATTAAATACATTAGCATATATTTTAAAACTGAAATTAAACTAGAACTCAAACATAACTTTTATGCATATATAAAATTTAGAGATCAAATAGAAATATGAAATCATACAGAAAATAAAACAATTTATCACATCTAAGTTATGTCATACTCGATTTGAAGTTCAGAGATGATGTATTCTTATTGGCATAAAAAAATTATTTGTTTTTAAAGGAAGCTATAATAAATTGAAAGTTCTGATCATCTCTCTTTGTGTGTGGGATGGTGACTGTGACCATTCATTGTCAGTTGTTTCTCAGCACAGTTCATTTGTCATTGCTCTCTACAGTTCTCCTCTCTCATTATAGATAAATTTATTATTATTATTAAATAACTGTCATTTTTATTCTTAGTGTTAGGTAGTCCTTTGTTGTGGTCACTTAGTCTATCAAATATATTTATTAAAATACAGATAAAGAAAAATTAAAATAAGTCAATTTTGTATTGTTAAAGTATATTAATAATTTTAAATGTTATGTTATAGATTTAATGTTTTAATAATGAAATAAATAAATAATAAGTATTTGAAGAATTTTAGGCCATATGATGTTAAAAAGCTGGGTATATTAGACAGTCTATATATAATTTACTCTGAATTTTAATTTATAAATAACAAAAACTGTTTACTTTTATTTTCTGTATATTAGGGGTTCCCAAATTGTATTTCACAGGACCCTAGGGTCCTGTGAAATACAATAGACTCATCAGACTTTATTGGCAGAATCCATTCTGCCAATAAAATCTGATGAGTCTATTGATGTATGAATGTGCCAATGCATATTTGGGACATGAAGTGTAATGGTTCTAGTCTTGGATCAAGTCCTCTTATGACATCCTATACATGTGCTAGAGTTATTTATAGCTTTATAAATAGTGAGGACCAATTTATCTGTAACAAAATGAACTAAAATCTTGATATAATGTTTGACAAGGTAAAACCATAAAAATGGCAAAATTTAAACCAAAGCTAGAAAATCATTTTAAAAAATAACCTTATAACCTTAAAAAGTATCTAACATATAATAATACAGTTGTTAAATATGATAAAGTAATTTAACAACTGTATTATTATTTATTCATTGATATCTGCAGTGCAAGCCTATTTAATCTAATAATGGGAGAAGCCAGTCAGATGTCCAATGGAGTACCATTGGACATCTGACTGGCAATCTGACTGGGTTAAGTTGAAAACAAATCCAAAACTATACATACTTTGATACTAATGATGGAACACTCATGTCAGATGCTAGTGAAGGGGTTAATTAATTAATGTCTCATCATCTGTAGTATGTTGGAGTGCAATGGTACATCATACAAGCAGGCATATCAGTCAAAGATTATTAGTTTTGCACTGCATTTGTTTTGTGATATTTTTTTCACATAACAATATATTGGGAATCATATAAATTTATAGTGCTTTTAGTATTGTGTATATCCAAAATTAAAATATCATGGAGTGTTGGCCATGAGAAGGAGATTTGAAGAAAAATGTAGCAAATACTTCAAATGTTTATAGTTACAAGGAGACTGAAAAGGCAGATACCAACAAAGGTACAAATCCAGGCACTAAAGCTATTTAAAATATTGAAAGAAAATAAATTTTATCCATCACATTAATTATCAGTTTGAATTAAGTAATAATATTTGCTTTCTATTAATAATTCAAACTGGTCATTAATGTGAAGAGTTAAACTTCTTTTCTTTCAATATTTTGAACAATGCTAATGCCTGGATTTGTATATCTGCCCTCTCAGTTTCTTTATCACTGGAAACATTTGATGTATTTGCTACATTTTTCTTCAGCACTCTTATCTCAGCCAATGCTCCATGAGTTTTTAATTTGGGATATACATAATACTAAATGCACTATAAATTTATACAGTTCCCACTATATTTTTATATGAAAAATACTTAAAATATCGTAAAATGATTGCAGTGCAAAACTCTAATAATCCTTGGCTGATATGCTTGCTTGTATGCTATACTGTTTGTGCTTCAACACACTACAGATGGTGGGACAGTAATTAAGAAGTAATCATTTGACATATACTAGCCAATCAGCACTCGCATCTTAGTTACATGGTCATATTGCATTTAGTATCAAATTTTAAATTCATGCAACCAGTAGTTAATCTTGTGCGACATTTTAATTTTACTTGTGCTTTTCAAAGAAGAAAATAATATTTTCTTCTTTGAAAAGAGTAACGATCATGGAGCAATCACTAAGTGATATGAATAACCGCTTCAACGACTGACTAGTTAATAGCAGCAAAAGGCCAAAGCAATTAAATTTTTACAAAATCAGTATATTTGACAATGATACAAAAAGTGAGAAAGACAAAAATAAAAGTGCCTTTGAAGTTACCAGAAGAATATTGGGGTTTAGATAGATATGACATTGTATCTATCAGAGAAATAGAAAAATTAACTGTGCTTGTAAAAGAAGGTAACTTGATTAAATATTATGTTCCCATCGAAGAAATATTTCAAATATTTCACGATTAGGGTTTCTGAAATGGGATTCCGGGATCCNTAAAAAATAAAATAAAAGAGTTTTATTTTATTTTTCGATAATTTATTAGTTTCGAGAATATAATAGAATAAATTTTACGAATTTAATTAGATTTTGTATTAAAACAATTTCACATTTATACACAATTTTAAACAATTTTACATTTGCTTAAAATTGCCATTCAACAGAAGAAATAATTAATCCCTCGTGTTATTATGAATGGTCTTATGAAGGTAATTATTAAGTAATAAGTTGGTTAATGTTATCCAGAAAATTAATAGGTAAAAAAAAATTTCAAATTATTTTAAATTTCAATTAAAAATAAATATTAAGTATGCTTCCAACATTTTCTATTAAAATATTGTTTAGAATAATTGTTGTAGACCTATATAGTATCATTATTCGATAATTTTAATTGTAATCATATATTATGTTATTAATAGACGATATTATTAAAAATATCAATATACTATATTATAACCATTAAACTAACTTATAAAAATATGCCTTGTTATTTATATTTATACAAATACTTTAGATATATGTATGCTATACTACACGTATTTACACTTTAGATATATAATTATATCCAGATTTTCTTAGTCTGATATCACAGAGATAAATTATTCCTCCTTCGGAGAGCTTAAAATTCGGAATTTAAAAAATGCAGATTTGCAATATAAACCAATTCATATAAATATGTGCTTACTTTTATTCTAATTTATCTTGTGATTGACTAAAATTAGAACATTGTATTGTTAAAACATGCTCGATAAAAAACTTTTAGTTCTTATTAAAGCTGTGTTAAAAGTTAAAGTTTCTTTCTAACTTATACCTTAATCCATTGTTGTACTACGATTTCAATTATAAAAGATCTTTGCTAAGTGTTCAAAATATATTTTAAAATTTACGTAATAAATTAATTTAAACTTTTAAATATAAATGTAATAATTAAATTAATATTTCGTTCAATTTTTAGAGATATACTCGTGAAAATTTAACTTTTAAAATACAAGAATTGCTGTGATTTAACTCAGAAAATATGTTAGTAACAGACGGAAAAGAATATTTACAGTATGACATATGAGTGTTTTGAAGATACTTAAAATATTTACTTAAAAAAAAGAATGTTTTATTTTATTTATAAAACGAATAAAGATTAAATAATTTATGTTACTTATTATTTGAAGTATCTACAGAACATGATATATTTACCATTTTGTTTATGTTTAAAATGTATCTTGAATCATAAATATTCTGACCCGAAGACAAGATTAACGTTATCACAAATTCCATTCTACGATTTCTACATTGCTGTTATTATGAGTAATAAAGATGTATGTAGTATTAAATCTTCATTGCTTTTAGCTTATAAATATTATTTTAATTTCGGTTCAGATCAGTTTTAAAAATTATACCATTAATTAATAATTTTACAATTCTTTTAGCTTGTCATACATATACAGCCTTTTCTCCTTTACTTTTTATTGTCAATGTGTCACAATGGAATTGTGAGATTATTAATATGATTTTTAAAATTTAATCTTAATTATATTTAAATGATTTTTCGATTAACTAACTGAAATATTTTTTTCACAAAAGGAAAATAATGATAATATTGATAATACTGTATAATTTCCTTGCTATAAAGCAAAATATAAAATAAAAAAAATGAAAAATTGTGGAAATAAATGTAAAAAATATCTATATTATATTTTCCTTGAAATTTTTCATTTAAAAAAACGTATTTTTTATAATTTTGTATGGCAAAGAATAATATTTAATTGCCTCCACTATCCTGATGTCAAGTACGAATAACTATTTACATGTTTACGTAGTACTTGAGGTCATAGACACACTGCGATATTTTGTCTCGGAGACGTTTTGTTGCTCAACCAATTCCATTCTTGGTTAATAAGTTGAATTTCGAGTCATACAAACGCATACTCACTTCCACCTTTTGAAGTTGGCTTTTTTGCTATACAAATAAATTTAAGACAAGAACGATCAATTATTTATTGTGACATGGTCATAATGCCGGGCTGAAAATTTTAATTATATTCTTAATTCATTTAATTTAAAATATACGCTCTCCACCTCAAATTAGTAGTGGCTTGCCCCTTTACATCATACTTTTCCTATAACAATACTGATGTTGGTCATCTAACACCTTCAGAGGAAAAGTTTATGACTTCCGATTTGTATCGGAAGTTCATATATAGTTAAGGCTTCCTAACCCTCAGGTTTCTATATCTGGTCTCGACTTTTGTCTATCTAACTCCGTTCTCAAGATTAAGGAAAGACAAACAGACTGACATGGACGACAGTGGGAATTTATAGATCTAAAATTTTTTCAAATTGCATCTTTTGATTGATGATTTAAGAAACTGCTGTCTCTTTACACTTACATGGGAATCACTAAATCAAATTTAATATTTTATTGATTGATTAGATAAAATGTGATACCAATATTCTATGAGACAGACCAATCATAGTTTAATTTAACTTTCTAACAAACGAACATGAATATCAATAGCATGAGTGAGGATAAATTTGCTTATTCGAATCTAAATTTTCACACCCAGAGTATAATCACGTTGCCTTCTTATTGATAAATAATTTTTAATAACTTTCTCGTTTTTAACTCTTTGCCCCGTGATTACTAAAAATGCCTCTTGTTTTTCATGTTATCGTGGGATCGGCCAGATCCACAATGAGGGAGTCGAGTAGCGAAGAACGGAGCCCGAAATTTGGGATTTTGTTCATGAAAAATTCCAGGGGAATTGTTCTCACGAATTAGACTTCGGGTCTCCAGGATCCCAAAGCAGTAGGCTATGAGTTTATCTGCCTCGGTTATCCGGGCTGTCTATTTTTGATAGATAGAAATAAAATGTTTCTTTTACAAATGCAAAACAGATTTTTAATTTGTTACATTAGAGATATTCGGTCTTTTTATACCTGACTATCGAAATACTAGATAATTATATGTTTGATATATAGTCATAATTACCAGGAAACGTTTCATGTATATTTATAAAGTAGTTTATTGCATAATTTGCAATATTAAATCATCTCTTCCTAAATCGCATAGAAACAATTAGTCTTTAATCTAGATTTTATTGTTTAATTACGTCGTATGTATCGAAATAGTGTTAATATGGTTTTTGTCTGATGTTTTTGAATCAAGCTTTGGCCGTTTTTAAATATTATTTCTTACAGCCGAATGATTATGCGAGACCAGATGAACTCATAGCGGACTCCACCCTTCTTTCCGGGTGGTCCTCCTTAATATTTTGCGAAAGAGGAAGTAACTGAGAAGCGGAACGGAATTAAATCAAGGTCAATCGTAAAGCTAATACTTTTTATACTAGCGGTTTTTTCCTAATGTCTCTTAAATTTGAATATTTTTATTTTTTAAAATGCCATTTTTATTTTTTATTTAAATGGAGAAAATTCTCTACTTACTCTTCTAAGTTGTAATTTAAGATCATTATTCGCTTCACGAAGAGATCCCGTCAAAGAAAGTAGATAATAGATGCATAATCTACGAAAAAGCAATATTATTACGTTAGGAATACAAATAAAAAGGCTAATCATAAAATTAACTATTACAAACTTACACAAGAAGCAGTAAAAGAGGTATAACAACACCCGGAGAAGTAACATATTCCATAATTTTGTTTAGCCAACTTGGGAATACTGATTCCAAATAAGTAGTGAAAACTCCATAAATTCGATAGTAATCACTGTATGAAGTAAAGATTTAAGTATAGAATAAAGTTAAATTAATTAAATTTATTAAAATATTAACCTGAAAGGTCCACAATGCCACGAAGGATCTAACCACACAACAGCAAATCCCACAGGCAAAGTACAGAGGAAGAGCATAATCAGTAAAAGAGCAAAATAAAAATTGTTAGAACGTGAAGCTTTAAACACAGTTTCGTGGGGAATATTGCAAGTGAGGACAACCCAACAACGAAAATAAACCAAGATACATAATTTGACTGTATTGATAGCTGGAAGACCCGGTGAGAAAAACATGCCCATCCTGTAGAATATAACAGTATTTAAAAATAATAAAAACTAACTACCATTAATATTATTATAAATTTTATAATTACCAGATTAATCCTTGATTATTTACAAGATGTAAAATATTTTCAGCAATTTTAAAGTCTCCATAACCCGGCTGTAAACGAATTAATTAATATTAAGAAAAATATTCTGAAATGATTTTATTATGGGTTAAATTGTAATATCAACATACAAATCCCTTTTCCAGATCCCAACACCAACATTGATTAGCATAGCGAACAAAAACAGCACGGATAAAGTCGGTTACTAAAGTACTCACAATTGTCATCACCAGATCAGAAACAGTTAATTTAACCAATTCCTGTTAATTAATATTATTTATTAAGGCTATCATATTTTAATATATAATTTAAATTAATAAATACCTGACCAAACATCGTCTCCCAGCAATTCTTTTTTAATTCTTCTTTGAATTCGTCAGACATTTTCCTTACAGATTCGAAAGATGGGATATCGTCTCGCTTCGATGCTTTGGTATCGGTGCACTTTTTACAGGGTGACAACATAGTTGAAACAATATGGGGACTTTCGGTGGTCTCGAGAGTCGTTAATGTCGCGTTATCCAAATCGGTGGCATTCCCATCCACTTCTATCCATTCAGACACGTTCGGTTGTAAAGTTGTATAATTAATAAAAGTAAAATTAAAATCCGGAGAGAGCGTATCGCTGGAAGTTGGACAAATTCGTAAAAATACTGTACAGTTATCGGGATCTCCCCCTTCCGTAGTCATGAGTGATTCTTCTGTCCCGTTCCACATAGTAGAATTCAGCAACCACGTAGCAACATCATCCATGGATAATTTAGTAGAAGTGGAAGGTTCATCAAATATATTCTTCACGGTTTCCGTAAAGTTTTCGTCATCTAAACCTAGATGACTAGTGTTAATTGGCAATTTCCAAAAACTATCACCCATCTCGAACGGATTAGAATTGTTTTCTATGTAGATAGGTTGAAATCCTATATTGGTATCTGCTGAATAACTCCAGTTACCGAGTGAAGTTAAGTTAACAATATTCAAAACCATAGATTTATAGTTGGAGTTATCATCAGTAGCGTTATAAGAATAAGTTGTAGTATCAAATCCGTATGGAAATGTATTATTAAAAGCGTCGTATAAATCCGTAGCGTTGACGGTAAACCATGTTGTTGTTTGTATTTTGTTAAGTAGTGCTAAAGTACAGTTTTGGATGATACGCAAGGTACAATTTTGAAAATCTGTACTCTGTTGATCTTGAACGTAATGGCTTGGTTCGTAATGGTTTAACACTAAGTTACGGCTCTCGAGAGGAGGCTCTTGATAAAAAGTAGTACTATTAACAATAATTGCTTTTTTTTCATCCATTGTTTCCATGGTTAGTGTGACATTTGATTTTAGTTCGTTTAATATTTTTATCTGCGAATTTAATGGCAATATTATGTTTATATATCATTTTATTTACAAAGTAAATTCAATGAAATTCATAGTTGCGAACTCACCATTCCTATAACACGATTGAAAAGTGAAAAAATTAACGTATATAAATTTAGAAGATTGAGTATTAGAATTCTGAAATTATAAGAACATTAATTATAATATATTAGTAAATGCTCCGCCCAATATTTTACTTTTGTGTAACTCTTGCAGTTCCTACCTGGCTAATTGCCAACGGAGTTGAACACGAGGATGATACTTTTCAATAATTCCTATCATCTCAAACAAATTTGGAAAAATAATGGATATACCGCTTACAACTACTTGAAGCTAAAAGGAGTCTCGCTTTTAGAAAACACGAGAAAAATCTTTGCATAATTTTTATAGCAAATATATAAAATCTCTGTACGTACTTCGTGTTCCCTCCACCAGTTCCCTTCTTTGGCTTCTGGTTGTTCGGATCTTTCTACTACTAAAACTATTGCATAGGCACTGGATGTTAACAAAATTAATACAAGAAAATTCGCAATAACTCGAAATGTTACCAGCTTCCAGCTGAAAAAAGAGGAAAAATCATGAAAAATGATGAAATGAAACTGAAATTTTGATGAGGAAAACTCACTTTTTATCTTGTTTTTTCTTTTCCTTTTCTTCTAAAATTGATTCCTGCGTAGAGTGAATATTTAAGCTTTTAAATTTTAATTTATTTAATCTATTTATCTAAATACTTACTTTGAATCCCATAACTAGTGACGCTGTTTTGTTATAAGCCGTTTCAGCATTTCCGATCATATAATCCCAACCAGTAAACAACTTCCAAGCAAATGTACATTCGTCTTCCTTCTCCGATAACTTACTCATGCGGGCATTTTCTGCCATTCTAAAACAAATAATTAATATATAAATTATCTTAAAATCCGCAAAAATGATTCTTCTGTTCACTTACTTCCTGAGAATGACAAAAAAGCTGAAGATGTAAACACAAAGGGACGTTAGGAAGTATGCTAATGGCAATCTATATCCCTCGTCAGTCATTTCTTGATTTCCATAATACCCGTAGAAAATCGGAGAGTATTTTAAATAACCCTGTAAATATCATAGAATTAAAAGCGAAATTGGATAATTTCTTAATATTTTAATGGAAACTTACTTCAAAATTCCACACTGAATTTAAATTAGGTTCGTTTTCCATTTCGTCATCTTTAGCGATTTTTCGCATACCCGTTTCGTCATTAAAACCTCTTAGGATCTAAAATTATAACTACTATTACCCGATTCGATGGTAATGGTCAATGATGAAGTGTATATGGATCGAGTCTTACCTCAGGAACCATGAGAAAACAACAGACAAAAATAGTGATAAAAAAGTTGACCCAAAACACCCAACGAAGAAAAGTGAAATACGATGCAACAACCGAACCGAATTGACCTAAGAAAACCGATACGTTTAATAAAAATAATAATAAATTTATTAAAAATTAGATAAATAAAAATAAGGAAAATTAATTCGAATGAACTTACTTTCTATTCTTTTTATTCTCATTTCCCATGGTGTAAGGATAACTATCAAGTTAGCAACCTCTCTCTTAAACTTGTTCCAACCCTAAAAAGAATCACGAGATTAATTTATTTTTGCTTTATAAAAATTATAATAAGCTATTTAAATAATTAAATCTTTTAATAATTTAATAAATTTATAAGAATAAAATTAAAAATTAAAGCTGAATCCACGACTTGATATCAAAAGAAGAAAGTAAAATCGATTCACTCTATTCCGGAAAATTAATTAATTAACTTTACCAAATTAATGGATATTTTATTACAGTTATATCGCGTTAAAAATAAGACACAATTTTAATCAGATACAATAATTAAAGATTGAAATCTTTATTTTTTACTCTGGATAAAATGATTGTATATTTGGTGAAGATATCTCCAGACTTTTTGCTCTGCATCAATTCTCCTTCGTGTTTCTTCACATACGTCTTCGCTTGTCTATTAAAAGTATTATTAGTCATTTTAATTATATTATTTATTAGTGAATTAATAAATAAAATTCCTACCTCAATGATTTGTACTTTTTTTTCATTCTCCATGGCTGATATCGAATCGATTCTATTAATTCTTTATGTAATCTGATATTTTCGAGAATCTCTTCTTCTGTTACTTCTCCTTCGTCTATAGAAATGGCCGTTTCGCTATAACAGAGAAGTTTTATTTACTACTGACAAATGCTATAACAATATACAGATGTTAATTAGAGATCGGAGAGGGTCTATACCCACGAAATCTCATGATTAAAGAGAAACTCATCGAAGAGAATCGAACCTCTTTGAACACCAGCAGACTCCAGAATGAATAGATTATGGAAGGCATAACCTATATTACTTTAATGTAGTCATAAAGTAAAGGGAGGATTCGAATTGTTCCACGTTTTAAGAATACTTATCATAGAAAAGGCGTTTTATGTCCTCTCTAACCGTCCAGTCATTCTAGAGAACGTCAAAAAAGGCACAAGGAAATANGGCCTATAGACCTAACACAGCATTATTAATATGATTTTGGAGGTTACAAAACTTTAAAATTACTTTAAAAAATGGAAAATAATTATATCATTTGATTTCAAGATATTTTGTATACCTTAAAAATAATTAATTCTATCCCGGGATCCCGGGAAACAGTTCACTTTTATCCCAGGATCCCGGGACAAGCAAAATACCGGGAAATGAGAAACCCTATTCACGATGACCATATTGCTATTGATCATGGTAGCAGAAACCGTATGGAAAAAGAATTAAGTACGAAATATAAAAATATTACAAGGGATAAGAGATATGATCATAATTTACTTGATTTTTGATTGATACTTGATTGATACTTGAAGTTTGTCAGAAAAAACAGAATGTTCCTAAGAAAGGCTTGGTAGTTAAACCAATTTTAAGTAATGAAATGAACTCAAGATGTCAGGTTGATTCTACAGATATGCATTTTCAAGCCAATGAGCAATATAAATTTATACTCATGTACCAAGACCACCTGACTAAATTAGTTCAACTATGACTGTTAAAAACCAAAAGGGCTGAAGTTGTAGCCTGTGTTCTTTTAGACATTTTTACAATTTTTGGTGCATTGAGTATTCTACAAAGCAATACTGGCAGAGAATTTGCCAATAATATCATCAGAGAACTGTGTAGTATGTGGCCTGACAACTTTTTATATAATAAAAATTATATTCCAGAAGTTTCCTTTAAGTTGATTTTTTGATTGAAGTATAAATTTGTTAATAATACTTTTCATTAATATTAGTTTAATTAATACAGTTAATAATACTTACTTTTAAAAGATCCCACGTTGTTCTTAAAATACCTTGAAATAATTCACAAAAAGTAAATAATTCTTAATGAAAAAAGTGAAGATATTTTAAAAAAAAAGCAAATTGTCCAAAGGCTGTAGCTGTATTCATAATGTCTGGTCAATTTAATAAGTTATTAAATATTTATCAGGCTGTGTGGCCATTTTAATCATTATTCAGAATGCCTGTATTAATCACTTGCCACAATTATGAATAATGTCAATATTAATCACTTGGTCCATAACATATACAAACAAATTTAAATTGAATTTGGTTAAATATAATTATTCATAAAGATAATATAGGACAAAAAAAGAGAACATGTTTATTTTGTGTAATATTCATGACTATACTATTTTACATAATTCAATAAGCATATATATAAAGAATTTCAGAATTAAATATTTTATTGTTGAAATTAAGCGTACAATTGTTTTAGAGAACTTATCACACAGGAACTTCCAGGTAATTGATTCAAATAGACGTTATTAATTAAAAGAATGGAAATGCATTTTGGGTGTTTGCCAATTATCTTGAAAATTGAGTAAATTGTGTGACAATGGACTATTAAAAATTAAATAAAAACCTGTATAATCAAAAACAAAAAAACAATAATAATAATAAATTGATAAAATATTTTTAAAAATAAAGGGTTTTATAACAATGATGATGACATTACCTGTAAAATTATTAAAACATAGAATTGTAAACCTAAAATGTTTGATAAAATAACTTAAGATTAAACTAAACTTGGAATAATGTATAAAAATAATACTGATAAAATTGCTGTAATAATAAAATCTAAAAAATGAATAAAAGTTGAAGTGCTTCTTTGCACCATCATCAGCTAATAGAATAGTTGTATAGTGCAGTATATTTTTTGAAGCTGGGATGGGAGTTGGGGAAGAAGGTGGTATCTTAAAATGGACTCTTCCTATTTGTGCAATAATAGTTGCCAAATGTCACCAACTGCAATGACAGTATTTTGGTTCAATCTATTTACTGAAATTTTCAAATTTATGTTCATAAAGTTTTCTTTTAATGATGTTTTTTTCATATTGCTTTCCTGTAAGCAGAACTATAAAGAAATGCAATTTGTGTAAAATTTAATAATGATAAAATTATCTTTGTGAATTTGTTATTTGATTAATTTAGTATGTAAACTGATGCACAATACAAATAAGTTTCCAAACATTTTATTTAATTTGATATTGTAAAAAGATTTTTGTAATCTAAGTTACATGATTTATTCCAACTAAATGTATGACTAGGATATATTAACATTTGGACCTAAATTTTGAATTTTGCTGTCTAGTTTATAATCTAATCTGTGTATTTTAGCTTAAGGCTGATTGATGTTCTCTTTGTAAAAATAATTCACAAATTAATTTTAAATTCATCCGTCATCATCAAACTTTATACAGATTGTTTTCTCTTTGCTTTTTAAATATTTTAAAACTTCTATATATTTGCTATCCAAGTAAATAAAAATATTTAGCAGAAATGTTAAAAGCATCAAAGGATATTTTGCTCTGTCTAAAAGGAATTTAACAGAAAAAATCCAAAATTGTTATTATTATTTTTATATTGTTGAAAGAAAAATTAAATAAACAAAGATCATATGATTATCCAACTGAAAATAAAGCATATGTATGGTCTTAATTATAAAAACATTGAAAATCAGTAAACATAATTTATATTTTCAGTTCTATTTCAAGTTTACTCAAGTAATTTTAATTATATCTTAGTACAGTGGTGCCTCGTACAACGTACTTAATCCGTTCCAGGTGCACGTCCGTTAAGTGAAACGTCTGTNATGCCATTTTTAAATGTTATAATTTAATTATATAAATTGTTTTTTACTTTTTGATAATTTCTCTATACTATATAAACTTATCCAATGTTTTTCCTAGTTTAAAAACTGTTCTATTTTAAACTAATGTTTCTAACTTCTGTTTCTAATAAATGTAATATACTGTACATTTTTTCATTTTTAACTTTTTCTTCCAAATGGCACTGGGAAACCTTTTTAATCGTATCTATCATGGGTTTGGCCAGGGCCCACAACGGATACGGTCGGAAGATTAGAAACGGAGCTCGATATATCCGGGACAGAACGCTCATGAAAAATTTCTGAGATTCCTGATGTGGACTCGAACTCAGGCTCCGAAACCAAGGCTGAACTCTTGCCCTCTTGGCCATCAATTAATTGACTTCTTGAAGAAAATCACTGGATAGTCGAGGAGAAAAAAGCAGCCTAACGTTCTGGGAAATCCGGTTTCAGTCCAATTCGAGGACTAAGGAATTTTTCACTAGAAATTTCACGCATTGTTCCTGCCAATGATGCACATCCCTGACTTCGTCAAGTCCACTCGCTTTGTGGGACCCAAAATGAAAAAAGCTTCTTAGCAACGAATATGTTTATTAGTGGCTACGCAACACTTGGGCGATCTGCCTAGGGGATGCCTTTTTAAGGGAAACTGGCTCCTATTTAGGCGTTATAGACATAGAGAAAACTCTATGTGGCCAGCCCGCCCGAGCGAGGCGCGAACCCACGACCGAACTCGTAGTGTTGAGGGAACGAAGACCGCTTGGCCACTGGTGGGCCAACTGCAACGAATAAAAACTGTACTAAGGAAATATTTCGTTCTCAGAACAGCAAGAGTTTTACAAAATTTATAGATTTATTTTTTTCTCCCCTAGTGGGCACTATGAGGGCCTCTTTTAGCAAGCCCATTATAGGTTCGATTTGGCCAACAATGGGGCAGCCGAGTGGTGAGGGAAAGGGCCCGACATATCCAGACGGACCACGCCCCAAAAACTTCCTGGGAATTTTTCGACCCCGGGTCCCCCAGAGCGGTAGACTGCCACCTTAACCGTGCGGCCATCCGGCCTCCAAAATACATTCATCTATTTAAAATTTCTATTAAATGTTTATAAATTAGATTTTATTTATATACAATTAATTATAATTTTTATTTACTTATTTCTCTTTGTCTCTGTCTCGTTTTTTAAAAATAAAATTTTTATTTTTAAGATAAATTATTAACAGTTGGCAGTTTTGTATACGCATGCGTTCATCTAGCAGAAAACTGAATCGGAAGAATATTGGACGGACGATCGTCTGCCAAATAGAAACAAAATTTGACTTAAATACTTAATTAGTGATATTTTATATTAAATTTCTACGTAATTAATTATAATTTACTCCGTTTTTAAATAAGGTAAAATCTAAAAATTACTCCATTACAATTTTTTGCAACGAAAGTGTTTATTGGGTAAGGGCATTTTCAAGATGATAAAACTATTTATTTGAGAAAATTAAATAATATAAAGTTTCAACATTGTTATATCTGGTCAATATGGATTTTTTTTTTCATTTCCAATTAAAAATAATATATTACAATAAAAGATTTTATTGTTCTGTAAGATCATCATGATTATACACATGTAGGAAATCAAATACAGGTACACCACCGAATTTCCGGTACTAACCAACCATGGTCGTGTATAATAATTCGGCAACACACCTCTAACCCGTAATTATACGTGTGTATAAAGTATACCTTTGACTGCTAGAAACTTGGATCAATGTTTACTTTTGTTGCCCCACCGATGCTCTTGTCTCTCTTAGAAGTCACAGCTATGGTTAAATTTAAGTATACTATAAAATTGTGGTGTCGTCGCCGACGAGTGTGGTGTAAATAATGTACGTAAGCGGAACGTGCGGTGCTGTCTGTGATCGGGCTGGTGACCACGGGAATTTCTACCTCCCTCTCGGTAATTTTGTTTGGATTAGAGGAGATGCCGGACCGTCGGTTGCTGGAAATTTGTGGTGTACTGTACCCACATAACCAATGTAAATATAAATTCTATTGGAAACTTTGGTGATATTTTAAAATGTATCAAAGATATTTTTACAAAGAATTGCTTTTAGTACTTGGTATAATTAAATTAATTAAATATCTATTCATGTGGGGTAGATATTCAATTAATTTGATATTATCTTTATCTGTTTGAATTCACAGAATTCAAAATAATTGAATCTTATAAAGTAATGCAAAAAACAATGATCTGCTCTACTGGAGTTCACTGAAACTTGTTATGAAAATCTGTTCCAGTAAAGTAGATCACTGTTTGTTAAATTTCTTATAAAGCAAAGTTTCACTAAAAATTATAAAAACTCAATACTGGAATTTATTCTAAGACAATTATCCTTAACCATATATATATATTCAATATGTATATGTATATTCAATAAATATATATATATATATATATATATTCAATGTATAACCTGTTAGGCAACCAACTATTGTATACTCCTGTGATAAAAAAGTATCAGAAATGGTTCAATAAAATACAAGATTTGAATTTATTCATCAAAATTTATTTCATCCCCTTCAAAGTAATCCCTTCCCAATGCAATGGACTGTACAGTACTTATATCAATGTTTTTTCCAATCCCCAAAACATGCTTTAAAGTCATTTTTGTGAAATCCTTTCAGGACTTGCAGCAAATTTTCTTTTATGGTTTCAATTGACAAAAAATGGTGATCACAAAGCAGATATTTTTAATCCAGGAACAGGAAAAAATCACATGGTGCCAAATCGGGTAAATATGAAGTTTGCAGAACTAATTTTTGGCCAAAAATTCACCAACAACAAGAGCATTGTGAGTGGGTATATTATTAACGAGCAAAATCCACGAGCTTTCTTGCCATAAATTTGGTCGTTTTCTACAAAATGTTTCATACAAACAATACAAAATGCTCAAATAATATTTTTTGTCACCAGTTCAGCCAGTCGAAAAAAATTCATGATGCACAATACCATGACAATCAAAGAAAACAGTCAACACAACCATGATTTTTGAATGACTTTGATGTGGTCTTTTTGGTTTTGCTTTGCCTTTCGAGTGCTATTTAGCTGACTGCTGAGTTGTCTCAGTGTCAAAAGCGTAGATCCATGTTTCATCACCTGTAATGATACATTTTAAGAACGACTGATTCACCTGGAGAAAGCATTTCCCCAGCCACTTGAACATATTTTTGGTAAAAATTCAATGTTTTCAGGACAACTCAAGAAGCAATATGTGACAAACTCAAATAATACTGGAACATGTTCATAATATTTCTAATTGTTAAATGACAATCATTAAGGACCAAATCTCTGAATATGTTCTTCATCAGTAGAAATGGATGGTCTACTAGAGCATGGTTCATCTTTGACATGTTCTCTGCCTTCCTGAAACATCTTGTACCACTCAAAAACTCTTATTTTTGATAGACTAGGGTCACCAGACTTTTGCAATCTTTCCAATGTTTTTGTAGCAGTAATTCCATTGCAAAAACAAAATTTAATGCACAAGGTTTTGATCGAATACACTCGACATTTTGAAAAATTGCTGGCGTAAAAATTCTTTACACACAAAACAAGTGTTTATTTGCAAATGAAAACAAACAACGACGTACAGATTGCTGCTATATGTCAACGAACGTCGTACCAAATGATGAGAGTGCCCTCTTGCACACGGGCAGTTTAAACGAACCATTTCTGATACCCTTTGATCACAATAGTATAAAACATTTGGCCTCCAAACACAATCTAAACCAGTGATAAGCAACCTTTTCTAGATGAGAGCAGCAAAGGAGTTTCATAGGCTTCTGGCAGTCTGCACACATTTTTCCTTACAGAGCTGTAGGCTTTAAGCCTGCTGAATAACAACATACTCCATAACTGCCAGTTATGGAGTATGTTGTTATTCAGCAGGAGTATGGAGCATGGAGTATGGAGTTGGTACTAAAATAATGTGCGCTAATGATACATGAACAAATAATATATAATTTATTCTCATGTTTTCATTGGTTAAGTTTAGTTTGAATGTTTTTCATTACAATCATCAGCTTAATTAAAATTGTATAATAATACATGACAGAAAATGAGAAAATAAAATCATGTTGTCAAAGCTCCAGAGGTTGCAAGTTGCTCGTCACTGATCTAACCCTTACCCCATATAAAAGATTATTCAGGAAGCATATAATGAAAAGAATATGACTTCTAAGTCTTCTGTTCTACTATCTTGACAATTTTACTAAGGCTGGATGCACACTGATGCAGCAAAAAAGTCTTTATACAAAACATTTTCTAAAGGTAAAACAGTGAAGTGCACACTGATTAGTCAAAACATTTATGCTTACTTCTTAACCAATATCCGGCGTGAAAACTCCAAACAAAGATTGGCAAACGCTTTCGATGCCCCTCCTGGGCTCTTTGGGCTCTTCTTCAGGCCAAATTTACTGCACTGGATTTTTAAATCGAATGTTTTTAAATAAGAACGTGCTCAGTTACTAGAAGTTTGAATAAGGAAGGTAATCACGTGCCTTTCCAAATTATAATTTTTTTTATAAATTATATTCGTGGAGATATGTTGTGCGCATCCCATAATAATCTCTTGTATCTTATAGTCACGTGCTGTTTCTAAAAATAATTTTAACTGTTGGCGATACGATTTTAACTAATCACGTGCCGTTTCTAAAAATAATTTTACTAGTAGCGGTACGATGTGCGTATCTCCTAATAATCACGTGTATCGTATAATAAATTACGATTCATCATCCAATAGATACTGCCACTCTGTTGAAAGATTCATTTCTTCTTTAAGATTGATGCAGGTCAATTTGCGATCTGCTCTGTATATTTCCATCGCTTCCAAGGTTCTTAGATGTTCCTGATGACGAGTGGTGTGAATGATTCGTGCCTCATTAAAAATCGGGATTATGTCCGGGTTTGTTGCATATGTAGACAATGCTGTTGTATATTTGTTGTGGGTGATATCTGCTTTATGTTCCTTTATTCTAGTGGCTAACGGACGTTTAGTAGATCCTACGTAAATTAGTTGCCTCTGCCATCTGTCGTCTATTAAGGGAATGGTGTATATTTCCGGTAGTCTGTTCGGGTTATGGGCGTCTTTACCGTTCCTTAATAAATTATATATGGAAGGGTTTCTTCTGTATGTAATTCCTTTTTTCTTTGCAATTGAATTATATATCATTTTCATTTGCGGGTTGTATGTTACCGGGATTCTTTCCATATGTTCCTTATCAACTGTTCCTGATGTCTTTTCTTCATCCGTTTTACTGTTTATGTGAAGGCGCTGATTACATAATTTGTGTATTATGTTGCCATAACCGTGGTCTTTAGCGATTTCTCTAATATACGCTAATTCTTGTTGTAGAGCGTAGGTTGTGGAAGAGTGGGAATAGGCCCTTTCTACCAAAGTCCTGAATGCCGCTATTTTGTAAGAGTACGGGTCACAGGAATTTATGGGTATGTACGATGGTATAGTTGTTGGTTTTCTATAAACTTTTGTTTGTATTGCTCTTTCTTTAATTTCAATTTCTATATCTAAGTAGTGGATTTTTTCTTCACTATGCTGCTCCAATTCCAAATAAAGGCCATAAGGGTTGTCGTTCATGGCTGTTTTAAATTGTCTTAAGTCTGGTGGTGTTTTCCAGAGAATTATAATGTCATCTATATACCTACCATAC